GTTTCACTTGCACAGGAATGTGGTCTCAGAGGATCAGTATGGAACTGGAAACTCCAAACCCATGAAGATTAGTAGGAATAAGTAAGCTGAATTATGTAAAATGGAATCTTATTTTGTACTAAAGAAATAAAATATCAAGACATGAAAGAAACCTAAACTCATAGAATTAAGAGAATTTAATCTGTCTGATCCGGTGCTCAGTTGGCTAGAATGTCATCTAGACACACAAACTTCAAGGGTAATATTTCCCCCAAAAATATTCAGTTCAAGATTTGCAAGAGACATTTGGACACCTGTGTCAAGTGTAGCATTATTCACAAAAACCTAGTGGGTGGAATCAAACCCCTGGCCTATGGATAAATATATTTAAAAATGTAGCATATAGTGCTGGATTCTGTGGTTCAGTGGATAGAGGGCCAGCCTATGAACAAGAGTTGCTGGTTCAATTCCATATCAAGACTCATGGGTAGGTTGTGGGCAGGTCCCCAGGAGGGGGCAGGTGAGGGGCAAACACAGTGGTGTTTCTATCTCTTTTGCCCTCCCTTTCCCCTCTCTAAAAATGGATGGATAGAAACTTATAAAAACTTAGAAAAATGTAGTGCATATATACAATGGAATACTGCTCTGCCAGGAAATAGAAAATATGTTCTCACCTGATACCACAAAGTCAAACTAGAACATGTTCTGAGTGAAACACATGAGTCACAAAGACACAGGCTACAGGATTCCACTTAGGTGAGCTATAAGAAAGTCAAACTCAGAGAAAAGAAAAGGTAGTTACCTAGACCTTGGTTTTATGGAAAATGAGGAAGTGGTTTTTTAATGGATATTGGCACATTTCTGCCAGATGGAGGTTTCCAGAATTCAGATTCACAATTAAAGCAGTGTTCTTAATATGACTTAACTGTACCATTAGAGATAGTTAAGAAGGTAGATTTGTATTTACTTGGTTTGTTATAAAAATTTAAAATAAAAATATAGAAGAGACACTTATAAATTGTTTCTTTTTTCTTAACTTTTCCTTATATTTTAGTTTAGTTTATGTAAGACTTTGTGGAAATATTGAAATATTTTGTATAAACGGATTTGCTTATCATTTATTTTTCTCCTTTTTTCACAGTTCTTTCTTTCTTTCTTTCTTTCTTTCTTTCTTTCTTTCTTCAATTTTCATGATCAAGTATAGTCTTTTGTTGGCTTTGCTTACCATTTATAAAGCAAACTGAAAAAATAAGCTGTTCAAGGGGGAGCACTTCATAAATTAAATAACAGTGTTGTGGGGTGAATCAGTTACTTATGGACAGTTGACTGAAAAAAATAATCTGTGTTAGGTTACCATTCAGATTTATATAACAATCAAATGCAGAATTACACAAAAATGTCCCCTTTCCTGGTCAACAAGATAACAAAGTATTTTTAAATATATTTTATTGATTATGCTACTACAGTTTTCCCATTTTCCCCCTTTACTCCCCTCAAACCTGCACAGCCCTCCAACCCACATTCCCCCCTTTCAGTTCATGTACATGGGTCATAACTATAAGTTCTTTGGCTTTTACTTTTCCCAGACTATTCTTACCCGCCCTCTGTCTATTTTCTGTCTAGTGTCTATGCTACTTATTCTCTGTACCTTTTTCCCTCTCTCCCCCTCCCACTCTACCGTTGATAACCCTCAATGTGATCTCCATTTCTGTGTTTCTTTCCCTGTTCTAGTTGTTGGCTTAGTTTAGCTTTTGCCTTTGTTTTAGGTGTGGTTGTTAATCATTGTGCAGCTTGTTGTCATTTGGTGTAAATATTTTTCATCTTTCATTTTCTTACATAAATCCCTTTAACAGTTCATATAATCATGTTTGGTGATGATGAACTCCTTTAACTTGACCTTATCTGAAAATCACTTCATCTGTCTTTCCATGCTAAATGAAAGTTTTGTTGGACAGAGCAATCTTGGATGCAGCTCCTTGCCTTTTATGACTTGTAGTATTTATTTCCACCCCCTTCTTTCCTGTAAAGTTTCTTTTGAGAAATCAGGTGACAGTCTTATCAGAACTCCTTTGTAGGTAATTGCCTGTTCATCTCTTGTTGCTTCTTGGATTCTCTCCTTCATTTTAATCTTAGCTAATGTAATTATGATGTGCCTTTGGTGTGTTTCTCCTTAAGTCCAACTGCTTTGGGACTCTCTGAGCTTCCTGGACTTTCTGGAAATCCATTTCCTTTGACAGACTGGGTATGTTCTCAATTATTTGTTCAAATACCTTTACCACTTGTTGCTCTTCTTCTTGTCCTTCTGATATCCCTATAATTAAGATGTTGGAATGTTTAGAGATGCCCTGCATGTTCCTAAGCCTCTTCTCATTTTTTTGAATTCTTCTTTCTTCATTCTTTTGTGATTGGTTGTTTTCTTTTCTTTTTTTCTCATCCACACTGTTGATTTGAGTCCAAATTTTCTTCCTGCCACTGTTGGTTCCCTGTACATTCTCCTTTATTTCACTTAGCGTAGCCTTCATCTTTTTTCATTTAATTTGTGATCATCCTGATTATCAGTGTTTTGAACTGTGCATCTGATAGGTTGGCTATCTCTTTGTCATTTAGTTGTATCCTTTCTGGGGCTTTGATCTGTTATTTTGGTTGCCCCCCCCTTTTTTTTTGGTCTTGATGCACCTGTTACATTGTACAAGGCAGAGCCTTAGGTGTTACTTAGGGCAGGGTAACCCACATAGCTGGGTTGTGATGCTATGTGTGGGGAAAGGGTCTGAGAGAGAACAATGGCACTTGCTCCACTCTCTGCCAGATTTCAGTCATTTCCCCTGCTTTTCACAAGCAAAGTGGGTCCTTCTGGTGCTGATTCCTGTGTGGGTGGTTTTATATAAGTTCTAAGACCCTGTGGGTCTCTCCATCTAACATTCCTGTGAGGATGGGCATTGCTAGCCTGCTTCCCTCATCCCTATAGGTGTTTTCAATCAGTGGTTTGAGGCTTCATTTTCCTGAGCTGAGACCCTGGGTTGTGGGGTCTGTCCAGGTCCCCCTTTTTGTCACCTGGTTTTTCTGCTCAAGAATGTGAGACTGCCTGGTCTGCCAGCCACTGCCTTGTTGGCTAGCTGCAGCCTTTTGCACCCTGTTCCACAATCTGCTGCCTCACTGGATCCACCAGCCACTGCCTTGTGTGCCCCAGTCCACTAGCCACCACCTTGCTGCAAGTCCTCTCCCCATTGGCTGCCCGAGTCCACCCCTCCCACTAGTCTGGATGAATGTGTCTTTTTTGACACTTTGGTTGTTGGACTTCCATACAGTTTGATTTCCTCTCAGCTCTGGTTGTTTTGTTTTTACATTATTCTTGTCCTTCTTTTTGTTGTGCGAGGAGGCACATTGTGTCTGCCTACATCTTCATCTTTGGTAGAAGACCAGAACTAAGTATTTTTGAAAGCTAAAGCTTGATTAAACACCAAAACACTAAACAAAAGCTTCTTATTTTTAAGAAAAGAGTATGTTTTGTCATTTTCTGTTCTTGCATACATTTAGTTCTTTCCAGTGGATCCAAAGCCTTTGGAACCCTGTTTGGCATCACTGAAACCTTGAACTTCCTCTATTTCTGGATAATAAACCCATTCACAAATGTGCTGTGCCATGTGGTCATCATTTTTAACTTCAAACTTTCCTTTGCCAAAATTGAACAATACAACACCAATACTTGATCCATAATCTTCATCTATGACCCCAGGTGCTACATCTACAACGTGTTTTGGAGACAAACCAGAACATGAAGCTACACTTACAAAGCACCCAGCATACTGAGTGATCTGAATGTCAGTTTTCACAATTGTTATCTCCATAGAAACCACTCTGTACTCATTGGCACTGTGCAGGTGATAGCCATGCACCCAGGTGTACCCTTTGTTGTAGCAGGTCCAGGCTCTGTGACCCAAGTAGTGAACCCATGCACCTCCCTCCCCTGCAGCCTGGGACTGCTTGCTGGGCAAGATGTTCAACATCTCTTCAGAGCACCGCAGGGCAGAGCACAATGCAGGCACAGCTTGACGCAGAGGAACAGGAAAGCACGGATCAAATGTTTTAAAATATTACATACAATTTACAAAAGCAGTTTTGTGAGATTTTATTTATTTATTTTTACATGGAGGGGAGAGGAGGGTGAAAAAATCAATGTGCGTTTGCCTCACATGGCCCACTGCTGGGGACCTAGCTCACAACCCCGGCATGTGCCCCGACTGGGAATCAAGCCAGGAAACTTTGGATCCCAAGCCAGCACTCAACCCGTGACCAGTTCACTTGCTGGAGCCAGTTGAGAAAAGTTAATATCTGACATACAGAGAATATAAATTCAGCCATGTATAGATATAAAATGAAGACTATGTATGTAACTGAAAAAGGCAAGTAGCCATTGAACATTAAAAATGAATGGAAAGAAACAGGATATGTCCATCATGAACAGTGTAAGGAAAAAAAGAGACAAATGTGCACTTAAATTTAATGGTAATTGACTTAGGATGATTTATATTTGAATTGACTCACACAGTGTCTTAAGTACTAATCTTAAAAATATAAATTACTTTCCTAATATGTAAATAAATGCTAAAAGTCAAGCAACACATTTGGAGAATTTATCATGTAAAAGGAATCACCCTGGAAACCAGTAGCAATAATGGCTGACTGAGACTGAGAGATGCTGGAGTCCAAGTGTTTCTCTTAAAGGGCCTGACACAGACTTACAGGGACTCACAAGCTCTGACCCCAGCCTTGGGACAGCAGAATGAAAGGGCAAGGGGCAGTCAGAGAGGGACTCAACTGTCCGGATTCAGAGATAAGGCTGCAAGGGCAACATCATTTCACACGGAAGTCATCTGAGGACATTCTTCCCTGCTGAGCCCTCCCCACAATAGAGCCAGAAGGTGCTGTATCTGAGTCCAAAACTACCTGGTTAATACTATTGCCCTGTCCTAGTGATTTCCTGAGGCTTTGATCCACTCCACTAGAGAATTCACCCAAGCCATATCCATTGGTTTTCCATACAAATGGCCCCTCTTCCCTCATGGTGCAGACTCTCCTAAATCTCTCAAACAAGCTGCATCTGGACTCTGCATGGTCTATGCCCCTCCCTGAGTGACTGTGGGAAAGCAAAAGGACATTTTCTTTCCAGATCATTTTATTGTTCTTCAAGTACAGTTGTCTCCATTTTCCCCCCACCAGTCTCCTCAACAAACCCATCCCCAGGTAACCCATTGATCTTAAATACCTTTAATTTTTCCCATGTGTCCTTTATACATGTTCCTGAAAACCCGTGCCCTCTTTCCCACCATTATCCCCTGCCACTTCCCCTCTGCTTACTGTCAGTTTGTTCTTTATGTCGATATTTCTGGTCATACTTTGCTTTCTTGTTTTTATTAGTTTCATCTTATAGGTGAGATTATATGGTACTTGTATTTCACTGCCTGTCTTATTTCATTATCATAACGCTGTCCCAAAGGTTAGGAGCCCCTTCTACTCTATGAACCCTGACTCACAAATTTGAAAAAAACCTATGCACCCCAATGTTTATAGCAGCACAGTTTACAATAGCCCAATCCTGAACACAAACAAACAAACAAACAAACAAACAAACACACTTAAGTTCTCATCATTAAATCAATGGATCCAGAAAGTACGATACGGTAGCATGAGCACAGGGACATTTTGAAGTCAAACAGAAAAGTAGATTGTCTCTGGTTGGGCAGGAACTTTGTGCTATAAGAACATCAATGATTCTAAGCTTTGTAGGGTCTTCCTTGCAGCTTGTGGAGGGTTAAAATTATGTCAGCAAACATGACAGCTGTACTCAGTGTACCTGGGATTTCTGTGTCAAATTCCAGGATTTCAACCACTTCCTTCATGAAATCCATTCTTTCCAGAAAAACAAAACTTAAGTAAAGGAAAAAAGGCTTATAATTCAATTTCTCAGCAACATGCAGATCTTCCAGGTCTCCAAAGCAAAGCAAGAAGAGCCAGAACTTGGTGACCCTGGAATCCAAAAATAACTTAATTGTATACACTGCACTATTTTTAAAGGATTGTATCTATTGATTTTTAGAGAGGGAGGGCTTTGGCTGAAGCTGCTATTAGAATAACAGAGGTCAGTGGAGGAAAAACACAATTTTGAAAGCATGTAGGAGCATGGGACACTGTTGGAGACAGGCTGGCTCTCTATGACAGCAAAAGAGTTAAACCTGGGCTTTTCAAAATCCTTTCCATTGAAGCACAGTTTCCCAAACCACACTTGAAGGTCTGGTTTGCTCTGTCACCTTTGGGTTTCTCACATGGGACATCTGCATCTCCAATCCCACCTACCTGGGGTGGCAGATATTGAGTTATTTCTGCAAATATCCAGCACTCCTTCATTTGCTCCAAAAACATGACCACCACAGGCTTAGGAAACAACAAGACCTGTGTACAAAATAAATATTATTACTTTTATAGATTCACCATTTTCAATTCACATTGTACTCATGTAACAACACTGAAGGAAAATTAAAATATTCTAGAAGATCATTTCCCCAAAATCCTGATTGCTGACAGCACCTTAATTTGAACAACAGGCAAAATTTTCACACAATGAGTTCCTAATTACTATAGTTCTCAAAGTCTTTATTTTCTGCACGACATAACCTCTAAGTTCTCCATTATGAGCATGAATCTGAAAGTCTACAAAACAAAGTAGGGTCCTCAAAAGATATTAAATAAAGAAAACAAAGTTCTGTGGGTGGAGTGGTAACTGTGAAGGCAGTCAGCCTCACCCAAGGAGACCAGGTTGCTGTAGTTCTCCAACATCACATCCAAGTACAATTTTCTTTCACCTGGGTCCAGACATTCCCACTCCTCCTGAGAGAAATCTACTGACACATCCTTGAAGGTCAAGGATAGCTGCAGAAAAAAATGAGGCACATTTACCAACAAGACACAGCACTGTTTTACTGTCATCTAACACGAAAAGTGTTACAAGTGGTTTTGACCTAGGAGATATCCTGCATCATTCAGTAAGGCCACTTTGACCCTCTGACACTTTGTAATGTATTTTGTAACATCAACAAGGGGGGTAATACATGTCCACAAGTTCAACACAAAGGCATTGTTTTTCAGGAAAATAAACTTTAAAATGAAGGAACACACACAGGCATATGGATTGTTGAGTATTATAGTTGTATCATTCACACACAACTGTGTATACTTCTCAGCTGCAAAAGGCATGGTGAGTTGTAAGTTTAAGTAACTTCTTTAGGTTTCACTAAGGAAACAAATAAAGTAGTTTTGTTAAAATGAAAATTCTGATTCAGGAGTTGTGGCTGGGGCCTGTTTTCCACATTTTTCAAAAGCTCACTTCTTTAAGTATGTTTTATTGATTATGCTCTTATAATTGCCCCCTCCTTTTTTTTCAGCCTTATCCCCCTCTGTCTGCACCCCTCCTTCCTCCATGCTTCCACCACTAAGTTAATGCTCATGGATCATACAAATATGTCTATGACTTCTAATTTCCTATACTATTTCAAATCCCCCCTGTCTATGTAGTCCCCAGCATTTATGCTTCTTCTTTGCTGTACCTTCTCCCCCATTCTTCCCTCACCCCCACCCAGGTGATCACCTTCCATATGATCCACATTTTGGTGATTTTGGTCCTGTTCTAGTTTTTTGCTTTGTTTGATTTTCTGTTGGTTTTGTTTGTCTAGGTAAGTTGTTAATGTTGTGAGTTTGTTGACATTTCACTATTCATATTTTTGATCATCCTCTTTTTTGAGACTAAGTCCCTTGAACATTTCATATAAGGGCTTGGTGATGATGAACTCCTTTAACTTGACCTTATGTGGGAAGCACTTGATTTGCCCTTCCATTCCAAGTGATAGTGTACTGGTTAGGTTAATCTTAGATGTAGGTCCCTGTCTTATATAATGTTGAATACTTGTTTCAATTCCCTTCTTGCCTGCAAGTTTTCTTTTGACAAATCAGATGCCAGTATTCTGGGAACCATTTTGTAAGTAAGTCTTTTTGTGTTGTTCTTTTAAGATTCTCTCCTTATCTTTTAAGTTGCATAATGCAATTTGATGTGTCTTTGTGTTTTCCTCCATAGGTCAAACTTCTTTGAGACTCTATGAGCTTCCGTTACTTGCATGTCATTTCCTTCACCAGACTCAGTAAATTTCCCTTCACTGTTTTTCAAAACAGTTTTCCATTTTGTGCTCTTCCTCTTCTCCTTCTGCCCCTTATAAAATTAGGATGTGGAAAGATTGAAAGTTGACCCAGAGCTATCTCAGCTTCTACTCATTTCTTTTTTCAATTCTTGTTTCTTTATTCTACTCTAGTTGAATGTTTATTTCTTCCTTCTGCTCCAAATGATTTGATTTGGGCCCCTGTTTCCTTCCTTTCACTGTTGGCCCACTGTATATGTTTCTGTATTTCACCTTGCAGAGCCTGCATTTTCTCCTTTATTTTGTAGTTCTACTCAATAATTTTTGTGACTATCCTGATTGCCAGTGCTGTGAACTCTGCATCTGCTTTGTTGGCTACCTCTACAGTGCTTACTTCATTAAATAAAAAAGTTTATTTATTTTCACAGAGTGGGTGAGGAGGGAGAAAGAGAATAAGAGAAACATCAATGTGTGGTTCCCTCTAGTGTGCCCCATACTGGGGATCTGGCCAGCAAAGCAGGCAGGTGGTCTGACTGGGAATTGAACTGGCAACTTTGTGGTTCACAGGCTGACGCATAATCCCCTGAGCTACAGAATTCAGGAAACTTTTGCTGGAATGTTGATCTGTTCTTTCATTTGGGATATATTTCTTTGTCTCATTTCACCTGTTACATTCCAAGGGATGGATCCTTAGGTATTTTCCAGGGCAGGGCAACCTACTTTGCTGGGTTGTGGTACTGTTGTAGGGCAGGGGTCAGAGAGGGAACAATCCTGCTTGCTCATCTCTCAACCTGCTTCCAGTCAATTCTCCCAACACCCTCAAG